CGTGAATCAATCGCATGCTATTATTCAGAATCGTAACCTAATGAAAGAATATTTAATTTTAGTCGTCATTCGACTGTTTTTTTTTTTCATTTTCGTTCGATTGGAAAATTGAATGTGGGAAAAAAACTACGAGATTGAAAAATGGACTAAAAACACGCTTTTGAAATACAGATGAACGAATACGATTCTCGTCAATAAAGCGTATGGTTCGTTCGTAAAATATTGAATTGCACATAATGAATAATAAAGCGATAAAAATTGAAGCAATGCTGACGATCAAAACCAAATCGAAAAAAGGAAATTTCCAGAGCAAAAAAAAAATACGGTTACGGTGGTGGTTTTCCCATTACGTTGCTATTTGTTTGTTTGTTTGTTTGTTTGTTGAACGTGAAATACGTATATTAAATTACAATTCAGCGTATAATATGAATGATTTCAATCGAATGAAAAGAAAGGATGGCGACGAAGGGAGCGAGGGAATGTAAAAATGAAATGTAATGGTATGAAATTGACAACAAAGAATGTAAATTGCGATGAATTCGAAATGAAAATTTATGGAAATCAGCAACATCCATATGAATTTATTCTCTGGCATCTGCTTTGCGAAAAACTTAACATTTACCATCGCCATAAAAATCGTAATGGATGGTATTTTGATGCAATAATGATATGTATTTTTACCGCCACAGACAAATTGATTAACCATTTATTCGTGGATATATAAACGCAAGCTAAAAATATACGACCAGAGCTTTCCATCGCATGCAGATATTGCTAAATCGACTCAAAATATTTCGTAAATTGTTTGGATAATTTCCATGAATCCGGACGGGTTGCAGAAATAGTAGCCATGAGTATACATATGAAAAAAATTCTGGTGTAAATCATATGGCGAATTTTTCAAATAACTTTCGGTTTGTTAATTCATGAATTTTTTTCCATTTACAAACATTGCTGCCATTGTGTTTCCTATTTATCTATATTTATTCATTTCAAAATTCACTCGATTGGAATGTTTAAATTTCCACAATTTCCGTTGACAGTATCAAAAATGAAGTAGATTTTTTTTGTGTTGCTTTTAAAATGGTGTATTTATATTTATCGTAGCTAAAATCTAATTGTGGTTGATAGAAAATGCAAGTACGTTGTGTACAAAAGTGGAAACTTTTACACTATTTTTGCTGATTTTCATAGAGAATGAAAATTAAACTGCAATCATGGAGTCAACCTGAGATAAATCTGCGTTTATTTGTTCGTTGCCGCAACATAAAATATATAAACAAAGCGCCAGAGATAAAAACAACGTATAGAACGCAAAACAATGCAATGTGCTGCTAAAAGGACGTGAATTTAATACAAAAAACCACAGTCACTGGCACGGGCTTCTGTGCAATATGCGGAGATACAAAAACTAGCGCCCCGAACAAAAGTACGAACGAAAGCTAAAACAAAATTACTAAACTTTTGCTATTATGAAAAGTTGACGGGAATATATTCTTTTTCAATTCGAATTCATTTTAGCCAATGGTTTTTTTTCTATGCGTAGCACATAGATGTGAATTTACGTTCATTTATAGAATAATTCCTTTATTTTTCTCATCAGACTTTTTTCTTTGCCTTGCAGCTTTTTTTTGTTTGCCTCAGTCAGTATATCTGGCGTACAAAAGGAAATGTAGACTAAGAGTAACTGTACACAATGACTCTAAATAAATAAAAATGGCAAACAGTTAGATTGCAAGAGTTGTTTGTAAGTTTCGTTTTTTGCTCATTGAAGCACTTGACATGGTCCGATGGAAAAACTTTGGACGATGTAAGTGATCAAAAAGAAGGGTTTTGGTCGAGACAAATACCAAGGATTATATCAAGTTAAAAATGGATTTTCTTCTCTTTACATACCTTCGTTTCATAAACCAGACACAATCATTACAGCCACTCTCTATTGACAACCAAGAAAAAGCTAGAGAAAAAGCGATGAATTAAAAAGAAAAATACGCACAAATTTATGCTGAAGAATGAACATAATTGTGAGGTAAAAAAATGGCGGGGACGAGAATGGATGAAAATAAAAATTATCATCGTTAAAAAAGGTATATCGCCAGCCTTTAAGGCAATGGGCAAATAGATAAACATCGTAGATAAACAAGAGCTGAAAAAGTCTGTATATTTGAAACGATTTCAAACGGGCCCATTGAATTTATTCCACCAATTAGATGCATAGAGACGATGCTCAATTTTGGTGTGCGAAGAATAGAAATGAGGAAAAGGCGGAGAGAGAGAGAGATATCAAATAATCAAAGTCAAACGAATGACAAACCAAACGAAAATATTTGAATCACAAATATTTGTATTCAATTTGAATTTATTTCGATTGAAATTCCGACATGTTAAAGTAGGACGGATCAGCGGTTGTATGTGACAGGAGTAAAACACAAGCATCAATCGTTCTCATCAATGTATTGCAATATGCCTATCTCGATTGACGTGTTGTTTGTAATCCAAATAACCGTATTTTCGGTTTAATTTCGTGGGCTGCATAAAAAATACCGCAATCCATGATTTACTCCCGTCATATTTTTGTACTATTTCAATGAATATCGGAATTTTGTGTTGATTTTTGGTTTTATTACACCAATGCTGGCAATACAGGATTTAAGCATAAACACATTTTAACAAGTGGAAAAAGTGTCGTTCGAGATTTTTGATGATTTGCAAAAAATCAATTTGCAAAAAATCAAGAGAGAGAGAAAACAACCCAAATCGAATTTACATGCAATCCATGTCATTTTTGGAATTTCTTTCATCCACGATTTCACTTTGAAATCAATAAATTCGGGTTGGAATATTCTGGCAAATAAATCTAAAATCATCATATATCACAAACACATAAAGTGAGAAAAAGTTGATAACATACAAGAAATATAAATACGATTCGTTTAGAATCATAATTTTCCTCAAAATATAGTAGAGAAAACATTGAAATGGAAATAAAAGTGATTTTTTTTTTGAAATCGTTAGAATAGAGAGGCAAATCATTAACATAGCCTCAACTGTCTATCGGTTGCTCGGGACAGTTTTATTCTTAAAAATGTTGACAAAGGCTTTTTATTCTCACCATGTCACACCAATCATTTCAAAGTGCACATATGCAATTGGGTGCTAAAGCGATTCAATATGTCACATAATGTCACATAATGTCACAGGAAAAGTTTTTTGTTGGTCAAACAATTGCGTGAACGTCGAACAATTCAAAAATGAATGACATTGATTGGCCGTTGCCGTCAAAAAGGAATACATTCAACTAGTTGATTTTACCACAGCAATCGAACCAATTTTATACAGAAAATGTATGAAAAATGATTATTTTGAACCATGTATTTGTCACAATTAATCATTTTATATCATCGTTAATTGAATTTATATATTCTTTAACTAAATAAATAATCCAACTGATTTTGAGTCGCTTTGAATGAATATTTAAATTGGATAAACATGAGGTGCATCAATATACAGACACAAATTTAATATTCATTAAATGAAATACAGTAAAAAACTACGCAAATTCCACACTCAATATTCCTGTCATATTTTTCCCACACCCATATTTCATCGTTAATTTATTGTGCTCCAACTCCAATAAATATATATATTTTTTAGCTGATTTATTATTCTGATTTGTGAAATACGGCATTTTAATATGAATCATCGTAATTAAAATATAAAATATTAAAATAAATTCAGGTTGCATAAATTCCAATCAACATGTTTTTATAATAGCCTACCAGATCATAGGCTAAAAAATATTGAATAATTAATATGGTTGTAATCATTTAACTCAAACATGTAGTCATCAATGTATCGATCGAATAAAATGCAACATTTATTTTGAACGAATATTTGCTCTACAAAATACATAATTATTATTACATCTGTTAAAAATAGGGCATATAATTTAACCTATAAGTTCATGTAACGTGGAACGTTGTCGAATTTATATTCCGAGACTTGTTAATTTATGTTTTATTTGCTCGAAAATGAAATTGTGATGAAGTTTCACTAAATGCAATTTCGATTTGTTTATTTCCCACATTTTTTTCTTCTATAAATTTGTTTATTCAAAAAAAAAAAAAAATTTCATATTAAACCCCGTTGTTCGACACTATTTCAAAAATGTTTTCGTTTGTTTTTTGGGGATTGGAACTAATGTTCTTTCAGTCACCTTTTAACTGTATACACATGTATACAAACCCACACGCACATATCATTATTCACACGAATTGAATGGTTTCATTTAGTGCTAAATTGTAATAATTTGAAAAATTTCCCTCGCTACCATCCCCCTCCTTCTCTGGAAACTACTATTGAAATGTATTCGTATGTAATGAATGCCACAATTTACAAGCGCACAAACATTTTGTGTGTGATTATAATTCATGCCAACGCTTTGCATGCATACCAAAAAATATGATTCACGAAAATGTAGCCACCATAAAAATTAATAGATGAATAAATGATCGTTATTCAGTAGCAGACATTTATTTCATCGAGTATATCTCGATGTGTACTGTACGTGTGTGTGTGCTTGGTTTATTCTGATTTTCATTGCTTGTTTCCTATCCGAATTATTTGTTGGTTCCGTTTACTGTATGTGGATTTGTGGACGGAAAAGTTTGGTTTGGAAACATATTCATTTTCAACAGTACACCACTAGAATATTCGTTCAAATAACGATGCTTGGAATCAATACTTTTGGGGGTATGCACATCAAAAATCAATCAAAACCCAATCATGAACAAATGAAAAACACACACAAACTGCAATTAAAACCAAGACACAACGTATTCAATTTGAAATATGTGTTCCGAAAATCGGTATCGGCATCGATTCACTAATTTGCAATGATTATAATAATATACACATGCAAACACATTGAAATAAAAAAAAAAACAAAGAAATGGAAAACAGATTTGTCATGGAATTTATTTGAAAAAATGTTCACAAACCATTTACATCGATTTCTCGTAATTGCTTTTTGTTGAACTTTAAATCGTATTTTGCTTGGTTTTGTGATTTTTGTTTCAGTTCAATTGTTTATTTTGACACTTTTATACGCCCATTTCACTTGTTTTCTAAATTAATTGAGCCATTTTAATATCCGTTTCCGAACTTCACATTCTTTTTCCACTTTGAGCGTGATTCTCTTTATTCAGTACACATGCATTTGATAACCAATTGAATTTCACTGTCAAAAGACTTGGTTTGCATCAAATTTTCACACTCACTTGCAACACGAATTGTATCTTTCTCGTTCCAAAGCGGCAAAAATTTGTGTTATGCTCAAAATAATCCAAGATATTTTAAATGGCACAAAAAAAAACTTTTATCGTATTCGAAATTTCACCGCGAAATTTATTTTTTTCATCAATTCATCAAACTTTGATTTTTACCAGAAAAGCAAATTTCTCAGAAAAATGTTGCACTATTTGTTTTCACATATTCAATCGATGAATATTTACGAACGTTAAACTGAGATTTCAATGAATCGTTTCACGCGAAACACAGCACACGTTTTGACTGCATAGACGTTTGCTTCACCACTGACACGGAACGCTTAGTAGCCATTCGTTTTTTCCCTCGTACAATTTTAGACATTTCAATCGTCTACGTTAGTTAATACCCCGAAAATAAGAGGAGAATATTGGAATATTCATTTTTTCCATTGGTCGTGTGGTTCCTCCAGTTGATACAGTATATTCTACCCCGCATTGAATCACCGTCAAATGCACTCTTTGAATGAATGAAGTGGTCATGCAGTAGACGGGAACGCGAACATCTCATATTGGCGCGTAGAAGCTGTGGAGACTTTTTGACGTAGGAGAACATATTCTCCAGTCAACGGGAATATTAATTGGTCTTTGTTGCAACGCATGCGCACCAATTAAGCCGAAAATGCGAAAAATCTTTCGTTACAAAATCACCGAAAACATCATCGGTCGCACCCATTTGAATTGGATCTGTATAGACCCATATATACATACACAATGTGTTTTATATTCAATGCATCTTCGGAGCTACATTCCACCAAATTGGTTAACTCTTGGCCTATTTTTTTCGGTTTTATTTTCGTATTATTCGTCACGAAAGGATACAGTCATAAAACCCCCAAAATAGAACAGATTTTTGTGACTTGAGCGTTTTTCCAGCATCCAATACAAGCAATAAAATATTCAATAACAAGTCATAACGGAATCATTTTTTACCCTCTTCTGTTATGTGAGTGAAGCGTCTCTCTCTCTCTCTCTCTCTCTCTCTCGATACTAGTGTACTGAATTCACTTGTTCTCGTTTGAAAATTTGAATTTGAATGCTGCACTCATACTGATACAGCTGAATAAATTGCAAACGCAAAATGATGTGATGCGAACAACCGTGAAACCAAATATCATCAGCGGTGCCCTTAACGAAGATGTATGAGCGAAATGAATTTTTTATGCAAAAAA